ATCGCTCTTCGGTGTTTTACAAAGCTCACGCCGGCCCCACACGCAGGCACAGCATCATCACAGTCCACAGAAAACAGTCCTGCGACTGTGCAGGAACAGAAGTCAGTTTCTGCAACACATTCACGGCTCCTCAGCCCAGCAGTCACACACCGCAGGCAGAAGCAGAAAGAGTGCTGCCTCACCAGCAACATCAGCAGCAGCACTAGCAAATCCTTGTGAGGCGTGTGGTGTCAGTACATCCCAAACCTCTTTACTCGGTTTCTCTGTGCTTCCTTACGCATAACCTGTTCCAAAGACCTGAGCCCTCACATCAACAGATCTCAGTCTCAGCCCAGCGGGAATCGGATTTGGTACAGGGAGTGTGAGCTTGTATTTTCACAGGAGAGAGACAACGAGAGCAGGCTGCACAGGAACAGGCGGAGTTTCCCCTTCTTGCTGAAAGGAAAAGAGACGCAACAGTCCGGTGGTGGAGCTTTCTCAGCTCTAGGAGCACCTGAGCTCTCAGGTTTCTATCTATAGTGGGGCCAGTAGGGGGCGCTCTCACCCTGCAGTCTGTGTGGGTCCTGATGCCTCAGTACAGTGACGGGGACACTATATTGTAAAAAAGGCGCCGTCCTTCTGATGAGACGTGAAACCGGGGTCCTGACTCTCTGTGGTCATTAACAATCCTGGGGTGTCTCTTAAAAGAGTCAGGGTGTTGCCCCAGTGTCCCCCTGCTCTTTACCAATCATGGCCTCCTAATAACCCCTAATAATCTCTGACCTGTCCTAATCGCTCTGCTCTCCTCCACTGAGACATGGTGTGTGTGTGAGAGGACTGGAGCATCATCCAGGTGGGGTACACACTGGTGGGGGTGGAGGGGATCCCCATTACTGTAAAGCGCTTTGAGTGAAGTGTCCAGACAGGCGCTATAGAAGTGCTAAGCAATCATTATTATTATTATTCTGATGGTCCAGTGCTACATGCATCATTCCGTCCACTCATGAAAGACCATCTGGTAAACGGTACCGAAGCATTCGGACCAGGTCCAACAGACTACAGAACAGCTTCTACCTCCAGGCAATAAGACTGCTAAATAGCCAACCTGCAGCTCCTTCAGCAGGTCACCTGCAATGGCTACATGGACACACAGTCTTCACTGTCTTCATCACACTGCACACCCTGGACACATCGCAGCTCGACTCA